ACGTTATTAGTTGTAAGATTTTATGAATTTTTGGAAATGAGTTATCCATAATTGAACTTTGCTTTACTAGTCGTATTTGTTTAAAAACTTAGTTTTAAAATCTGCAAATTGAATTTACTCTTCTTATTCAAACTCTTGAATGTACTCTTCTTTTTCCTTTCATTCTGTTCACCTAAAACTAAAACAATTATCTTATCGACCTGATGGAACAGGAATTGCATTCATTCTGATTCAAATAAGCTTTACGAGTATTGTCAGTTATGGAATTTGTTTGGTAATTTAAACAAGTCAAAAATAATGGTCTTCCGCAGAGGGGGTAGGCTTGGGAGAAAAGAGATTTGGAACTATGCTGGACAAAATATTGAGATTGTGAACTATTATAAATATCTGGGTATATATCTCACACCGCAGCTTGTTATGGAAAGACATCTTAAAGAAAAATTAAATGTAGCCAAATTTGGTATTAATTCTACTTGAAAGTCTCTCTTGTGGAATAGTGATGTTCCCATTTCAGCAAAATATAATGTATTTAACTCTGTTTCCAAGGCGGTAATGTTATACGGTGCTCAGGTTTGGGGCTATAAATGGTATGACAATATTTTGTCAAAAGGTTGTTTTTCCTAATAAAGGATTCCTGATTATGTCTTATATTTAGAGACAGGGACTGACCCATTGTTTTTCAACACATTAAGCCTGCATCTGATATACATCCAAAAAGTTGTATCATTGTCTTCTGCTAGACTTCCTCGAATTTTGGCCTTAAAAATACTAGACAAGAAAATATTTTGGGCAAAAGAATTTGACAATTTTTGTCTACAACACGGTTTAACCCCCTTGAGTTACTCCAACGTAAATAAAAATAGTGTGGAAAGCTTGGTAGATGTTTTAAGAACTGATTTTAAAAATAAACTAAAATTAAGAGCACAACGGTCTGTCTTCCATGGTTTATACAAAGAACTGAGTCTGGAATTAGGAGAAAATCACCATTATTTAAATAAAAATTATAATTTGAATATGATAAGTGTGATAATGAAAGCAAGAGGTCAGGTTGCTGTCTCTTAATTACTCGGTTCACAGAAATGAGGAAGCGTACTGTTGTGCTTTGTGTAATTTAGGTGTGTATGAGGATGGCTTCCATTTTTTGGCGGTGTGCCCTATATTAAAGGAATTCAGACTTAGGTGGTTTGGCAAATTGTTTTTAGAAAAAAATGAAATAATTTCATTTTTGAATGAGCAGAACTGGCACAGTCTCTACAATTATGTTTTGTACTCCCTAAAATACAGAGCGTTCCTAATCGATAATTTCAATTATTAATAAAGTATTGTGTAAATTATGACTATTTGTATTAGTATTGTTAGTATTAGTATTCGTATTATTAACATTATTAATACTATTCTATGTTTTTTCTTTTGGCAACTCAACAGACAGCCTGTGGGCTATTGTCTAGGATGTTTTATGTACTGAATATTTTTTTGTAAAATAATTTTTATTGTAAATAAACATCATTATCTATCTATTATTATTTATTATTATTATTTTATTTTTGTGGCCTTGTACTAGTGTACATATCTAACATTTTATTTACATTATTTAATGCCTAACTATAATGTTATGAACCTCCTACACAACTTATACATTCCAGTTTTGTGATCACCACTGAATTTTCATTACATACGAATTGCTTGAATTTATCACATCTAGTAAAATATTTATCGTCGTTACCAGAGCAAAGACAACATCAAGAGTCAATAAAAACATTTTGTAATATACTGACCCTGAACCTAAACCTGTGATAACAAAAGCAAATACAGAATCCTCCATCACAAAATGGATTAAACTAAAAAAAAAACTGATTAAAGAACTAGAGAAAAGAATTGTTTTAAAACTGAAAAATCTCAATGTTACAAAAAACTTCAATTGTGATTATAAAAAAACATTTTTGTAAACATATTTTTTTGAAATTATTACAAGACGATTAAATTGACACTTTGACAGGTTAATTTTTTAGAATAATTAATAATAATTAAACTATTATGGGGTACCATTGACCCCTCCCCAGTGTGCCAGATTTGTAACGAAAAAAATAAGTGAGCTTTCAGGGTTAAAAAAGTATAACTAAAGAATTATTTAGGGGAATCTGACATGTGACAGAGTTTTACAAAATGGGGTTAAATATCGATCAGTTTTAACAGTCAAATTCTACATTTTTTCTACTTATTTACCATTATCTTGAGTTATTTTTTCAATGGAATATCATTAGCCGCTAACAATCTCCACTGGTCCAAGCTAAGAATATAAAAATAAAAACGGACTCACCAGAATTAATTTTGTCGGTTGGACAATATATTTACACTTTACAGGTCAAAGCGAGCTTCTGACAACAATGGCGTCTAAAGCTTAAAAGTTAAAACTCTAGACTCTAGAGTCACCAGAACCTTTCTTTTTCTCCGGTATATATGACACAACCAACAAAAATGGACTGATCAGCTGTCCCAAAGGATCCATGGCCAAATTGGAATAACATACAAAAAGTTACTTAAAAAATAAATAAATAAATAAAAATAAAAAAAATAGTAGAAAGCGGGCGAAGTTAAGCAATTCTGATTTGACCAACTTTGAATCAGGACGAGCCAGTAGAATAGACCAGAAACAAAAATTGCAAGACTATAAATAAAAAGATTTTAACCAAAACAAAAGGTTAAATCTTGCAAAAGATTCTATAATTGTAAATTTTGCAAAATAATTTTAGTATAACGAAAGAGGTCTATTGAAAATGGCGGCGAAATGCGCCTAACATTGCTCTACAAACAAACTTGAGTTCAAATATAAATGTAAAAGAGTATTATTTTAACACAAATTCTTTTCAAATTTACTGATTAATTTAACTAAAATTAAGTACAGTCCTATCGTAACACTCATCATAGGTACATTGTTACCCACGAAAAATTAAAATTGCTTAAAGAATAAACGGAAATAGGCAAAACAAAGATTGCACGAGGTAGCACTTCAATTCGATGGGCTTTGTTCTATTTATTTTAATTTCGTAAGACAATAAACGCGAATTCTAAATTGTTGGGGATAAATTACACCAATTTCCCTTTATCTGATAGATATGATAGAAAAAATACAATAATTTTAGCTACACTTGATAAATAAAATACATCAAGTTTAGTGATGTTTGATATAGACAAAATCCACCAATTTTGGCTATATGTGATAGATAAATTACATCAATTTTAGCTGAATTTGATAGATAAAATACATCAATTTTAGCTGAATTTGATAGATAAAATACATCAATTGTAGCTAAGTTTGAGAGATAAAATATCAATTTAAGGTAAGTTTGAGAGATAAAATACACCAATTTTAGTTAAGTTTTATTGATAACTTTCACCAAATTTATCAACTGTTATAGATAAATTACACCGAATTTTATCTCTATTTGATAGATAAAATACATCAATGTTATGTATGTGTGATAGATAAATTACATCAATTTTAGCTATGTTTGATGTATATAAAATTCAACAATTTTATCTTTAACTCATACATCAAATCTACCAATTTCGGCTATATCTGATGGATAAAATACATCAATTTTAACTAAGTTTGTTAGATAAAAGACACCAATTTTAGCTAAGTTTTATTGATAAATTTCACCAAATTTATCTACATGTTATAGATAAATTACACCGTATTTTATCTCTATTTGATAGATAAAATACACCAATATTATGTACGTGTGATTGATAAAATACATCAATTTTGGCTATGTTTGATATATATAAAATTCAACAATTTTATCTTTACCTCATAGATCAAATGTACCAATTTTGGCTATATCTTATGGATAAAATACATCAATTTTAGCTAAGTTTGTTAGACAAAATATAAAAATTTTAGCTATTTTTGATATAGATAAAATTCGCCAATTTTCTCTTTATCTCATAGATAAAATCCACCAATTTTGGCTATATCTGATGGATAAAATACATCAATTTTAGCTGTTTGATATAGATAAAATTCACCAATTTTAGCTACATTTTATCAATAAATTCCATCAATTTTATCTATATTTTATTGATAAAACACGCCAACTTCTATATTTGATAGATAAAATAAATCAAGTTTAGCCATTGATGTAGATAAAATCCACCAGTTTTAGTTACATTTTATAGATAAAAATGCACCAATTCTATCTATATTTGATATGTAAAATACACCAATTTTATCTATATTTGATAGATAAATAAACCAATTTTATTTACATGTGATAGATAAAATATATATGAATTTTAGACATTTGATATTTAAGCTATGTTTTATAAATAAAATACAGCCATTTTTGCTGGGTTTAGAAGGTAAAATACACCAATAGTATGGTATACTGGTAGTAGTCATTTAGTCGGGAAAATAAAATCTTACAATTTCAGGAATATGGATTAAATGAAAAAGTGGTTTTCATTTCAAATAACTGTAATAGATCTGTACTTTAGGAGAATTGGAAGGATGTCTTTGAATTTTTCTTAGTTACTTAGCATAATTACTATTGTGATTAACTGTATATATGTAAAACATGTTACAAATTAGACTTTGACTGCTCAACTTGCTTCTAACATGTGAAAAGAAAAAAGTGAGCTGAAAAGTGAAGATAGCATAAGTCGAAATACTTTTGAGAGACATTTAAATCTGTGAGAGAGTAGACAGACCCAGTAGAGAGTTCAAGTGCCGATTAAGTTTAGCATATAAGATCTATATCAACCATTTAGATATAGAAACAACCTGAATTAGTGTTGTAACTTTTGTACTTCGTAAAATGCTGTAATTCATTCGTCATTTATTTTTAAGGAAGGGCAGATATACAAAAATGTAATGTAAAGGAATGTAGGGGGCAAATATTAATCATGGACAACCTGTACATTATACTACATGTATTTTGTGCAGATTTGATAAAATTTTCAAATCCGTTATGAATAAATATATGAATATTAAACTGAAATATGTATAATAAATATCATATTGGGGTTATAAAATATATGTGTTTATTAGAAAAATAAAAATAATAGATTTATTAATCTTGGCTCTTGCTGTGCCGTGGTTGATAATTTCCAATATCCAGTTCGACATAGTGTCAATCCGCGCATGAACCCCAGGAACGTCTTTTCTACCACAGCCCAGGCCATAAGAGATGATTCCATAAACCTTCTTTTCACACATCAAAGGCCCGCCAGAATCACCTTGGCAGGCATCAATCCCATAACCACCGTAGGTGCACCAAGTACATTCACATTCCATTTCACTATCTGAGGGGGGCATTCTGTGAACATTCTGAAGCAGTGTATGTCAAAAAATTAAACTTACCGAAAAAACGTTGGCTTCCTTTTTGCAGCAGAGCAGCACATCGAGAAGTACCTATTACTTTCAATTCAGCATAGTAAAGAGGGAGGTTGGTAATAATGTTGTGAGTACCCCAGCCAACGACGCTGCAAATTTGTCCGATAATGTCAGTATACTGGTACTCATAGTCGACCTCGTAAATGCTTTGTGATTTTGGAGGCTTTAGCGATTGATAATTTATGATTAATTAGATTATTAATTGCATGCGTTGGTTTTGATTTCACTTACATCAAGGCTGAAAGAGAGTTGAGCTGCGCAAAGTTTATCTTGAAAGATAAAGGATGTCTTAAGTATGACAATCCCAATGTCATAAAATAGCCCATACGAATACTTTCGGCATTTTGGATGAACATATGTTTTTCTAACTTTTCTGCGCTAAAAATTAGAAATATTGTCAACCATTAACTACTTACTAATCATTTAAGGATTTCCATTAAAACCTTTATGTAGTAATCTTGTTAATTTAGATTATAAAAAGTATTGCAAAATATTCCTTTTAGGACTTGGAATTGATGTCCAACTTCTTTATGTAGCAATAAAATAAGTTATCAACAATCGAAGAATTCTTGTATTTTGAAGAGTCAAAAAACCCACAGAGAAATTTCAGGAAATACATCAGCAGGGATCAGACAATAAAGGAGGTCTCTACGAGCACAAATGGGGGGAAAAAGGTATTTAAAGGTTAAGCCGTTCTTCTGCCAACTATGGCGTCAAAACTCCAGAACCCTCCTTCGATAACACCTAACCTAAATGTTTCAAGCAAGACCCTAACATAGGATCGATCCTGTCCGAATGAATTTCGTGGCAAGTTAAGAAAAAATGGATGGAGTAGATTGTGAAAAGTTTGGACGAAGTTGACCAATGATCATGGTCGACTGAGGACTCTAGATGAACTGGTAGAAAAGAATAGAAACAAAAATAAGATTGTAAAGGCTAAATCTATTTTAAAAAAATCAAATCTCGCAAAATGATTTCATCGTAAAATGGGAGGACTAAAGTAAACATTTACCAAATGAAAATGGCGACGAACTAACATCGAGAAGCTGGACAATTTAAGTAATGTAGAAAATAATATTATTTTAACAGAGAATCAATCCAAATAATGAACGAATCCAAAATAATCCAAAATATGAGCCTTCTATTGAAGTCTGTGAGCTGCAATCTGGAAATGTGAGAACCTAGGGTTGCTGGTACAAGATGGCGCATATTTTTGGTCATTACTCTTTAGACTGAGGGACTAGAATTATATGTTTATATAAATTTATATTTATTGAAATTAGGATATTTTTATCCAGTCTCACATTATCCAATTAATTAAAAAAAACTTCATGTATATCACATTGGCAAAAAGTGGGCAACGCTTAATTATAACATATGTGATATGTCAAATTACTGGTAGTATTTTCACTCACTTAAAATTTTACCTGGCTCGTATTACTTGACCCGATCAGGTCACTGCTTCCGGCGAGGATGGAGAACCTGCTGCTGGCAATAGGAGTGAAACCTTTGTCGTTAACGGAAGACAAACAGTGGCCAGCTGTAAGGACGTGAAGTTCGCTCACTATGGTACCTCCGCAGACGTGCTCCAGTTGTGACTTGTGCCTCCTCATCCGCTGAATTGAGACGAGATGGGGAACTTGTTCTATAAAGACGGGCCTTCCTCCTATTATTTTCTTGTCGCTATTGCATATTTCCAAATAAAAAATTATGTAAAACAAAACGGTTGGCTTTCCTTTCATCTCTTTTCAAAATTCCGGTGAAACATGTCTATTTCATCATCTCTTTATCTTAAGTTTTTAAAATGGTTATCAACATTTATAATCTCAATTGTTTAAAAATATACCACTCCTCAAAAAGGATTCACATGTTTTTTTTTATTGCATTTTTTAAATAAATAAAACAGTAAACATTTGGGAAATAATTAAATCAAAGCAACAGCTCTGTGGCGACATGCCACCATGAACAAGCTAACCAAGCTTATCTCGTCCACTTTTTTTTCTGATTTTTCCTTATGTTATATATTTATGAATAAGCACAACTTAACCAGAAATCGTTAATTTACAAGGGAGAGTTTATCACAGGTCGTACATATAAGAATATATTCAAAACATCATGGGTGAATTACCAGTTCGGTATATTTTGGAGACAAGAGAGGAAACTATTGTTTGTAGTGACTATATTTTGGATTTACAATGTAAATTGTAATAAGGTAAATTCGTAATATAAAAACATCTGCTTTATTCTGTTTTATAAGTTTCAAGAATTATAAATGATCAAAATGTAGTTTGACTTTTCCTTGAAAATGTCTAAATTACCCAGCTCCTCTTGTGTTGCGATATTAGCACAAGGTAAAAACTAAAAAGTGGCTAGCCACACCGACACCGCCAACAAACGACATCCTCAATATTGGTAGAAACATTTCCTGTTCTATCAGCGTAGGCAGTCATAGAAGTTAACAGATCAAGTAGAAAACAAGATGGAGGTACTAATTGAGCTGTATTGTTCTTTTTGTCTGATTTTCCTGGACCGATGAAAAAGCCAACGTACAAAAAACTAACCAATTTAAACTAATATTTCTAATAAAAGAAACCAAGTTTGTTGACATAAACGCGTATACCTTCAATTCCCGGATCGTACCTCAGAGAGAAGAAGAAATTGTGATTTCACCCAAGTGCATATTGTTATTATCATACAAACCTACCACTAAGATGGCGAAAGACCAACAATGTGAGACAGGTCAAATCTGCGGGATTATACAGGTTCATCACCCCGCAGAACTCAAGATGAAATCTCATGAAACTCACCCCAAACTTTCACAGGTCATGTACATAAATGTGATTAGGCACCTTGATCAAGCTCTACTTGATTGACGGTGAGTTCACGTAACGAAGATTAACGGTTAAAGATTAAAACAAGGCATTTCCTTGAAGTCTGCGGGGTGAACCTGCAGTTTGGTCGTTTCCGATCATCCTGGTCTCCTTATGCTCGCAGTTTAGGTCTATTGGACTTTGCGCCATCTTCAGTGTTGAATATACTATTTTGTCGGACATGTCCGAATATTCAAAAGGGGCCCGAACTGTACGAAAATCACACAACCTAGGAAGAAGGCGAAACATATCAACCAGCAAGGGCGCCATGCAAGGATGACCAAACAAATTATCGACAAGTAAAGGAAGCAGAAACGAAAAAATATTGTTCACTGTAATCTTACGAAATACGAGTCCACCTACCATAAGAATTGCCACGATGCGAGAAATCCATTTAGTGACTGATGTAAGCAGAAAACTATTCAGTCCTGTGTTCAGCTGAACTAGACTAATATGCTCAGACTTTAATACAGCTCAAGATAATCTTCAAGCACATTGGTAAGTCGCGAATTACCTTCGATCGTATAATGGGTCAACCTCAGAAAGGTAGGACCATCAACAACCCCTTCTTCTGATGCCTCGACATGTCAGTACATCTTAGTTACTGATGTAAGCAGAAAACTATTCCATCCTGTGATCAGCTAGACAATCTAGTTGCTCAATAAAGACACAAACTTTCCACTTTAACACCACTCAACATAACCCTTAAAGAATCCGCAAGCACCGACCATTTGGCTAGGCAGGACGTCAATCTCATCAACAACTCTTCCTTTTACTGCCTCAAATATCCTCAATTTTTTTCTTGCAGATTCCAAAACTCAACAACTGTCTCATTACTATCCACGTCTCACTCCCATGGAACAGTTCAATAGATTTGAAACAATAAAACTAAAAAAACCTGTGTATCTATTTATTTGTAGCAATACAATAGCAGTCTCAAATAACATGACTATGTTCTTATTAGGTATATAATACAAAATATAAGAAAAAATATTTAAAATTTTTTAAACTAACTACTTCTGATTTTAAATTTAATTGTAACTTAGATTATTTTATAGTATAAAATTCGGTAAAAAATGAGTCAAAACAAGAGATAAATTTCTCATCGGTCTAGTTCTTTTGGTAATGAGACCTCAGCTCTCTTCTTAAAATTTTACCGGATGCGCTTTTCGGTATAGCGTCGACGAAGACGAAGTTGTGAATTTGTTTGAAACTCGCCAGTTTTTGTTTGAGGAATCTTTTCAAAACGTTTGAGTCCGCTTTCCCGCCGGCTTTTAGCTGGACGAAGCCGACTGGGGTTTCACCGTATTTGTCGTGGGGAACGCCGATCACCCCGGCGTCCTCGACGTCGGGATGGCTCCTCAAAACGGATTCCAGTTCTGCAGGAGGGACCTGGAAATATGACTCGAATGAGAACACTGGAAAAAATTAGGATTTTGAACTGAATAATGTGGAAAACTCGCGACATCTTGGATAGAAGAGTTTACAGCGGAAGAAAAACAGAGGGTTACTGTTACTGTTGGTGATCATTAAAAGATAGAGAATGAAAAGTGTATTTCATAAATTTCATCCTCCAAGAACGTCTTGTTCGATTGAGGACGAAATATTATTTAAAATCACCTAATATATACAATTTTTAATATTTAGATCTAAATCATTCCTACACTTTTGCGCGTTTGTCTTTTATATTTTTTCTATATGGACTCTCTCTCTTCCTCTCCCTCTCACATTCTCTCTCTCTCTCGCACTATATCTCTTTCTCTATCTTCTCTCTTTCTTTTTCTACATTTATATATTATCTCCCTATGTTTTGTATGGTTTTGTGTTTCATTCTTTGTGTGGTTTTTCTGTTTTCTGTATCTGTGCGTTTTATTTATTTATTTTTTTGTGTGCGTCATCTCTCTCACTACCTTCTATTTCTTCCTTTTTCTATTTCTATATCTCTGTTTGAGTGTGCTTTGGGATTTGATTAGTCAATTGATTAGTAATTTTTTTATTTGTGTTATTTGACTTTTGTTTCTCTCTGTCTCATTGTCTTTCTGTCTTTCTTTCTCTATGTCTATGTCAGTCTTTCGGCTCCCTATCTCTCTCCCTATCACTCTCTCTCTCTCTCTCTCCCCCCTTCTCTCTCTCACTATTTATTTTTTCTACCAAACTATCTCCTTTCTTTTCTCGGTCTTTCTACATCTCTATGGTTTTGATGTTTGATTAGTTTTGGGTACGTTTTTAGTGTTTCTTTACAAATGGATGTTTTCCTTTAGTCTCTGTGCTTATTACTCTTCTTCCAATTTGTCGCTTTCACACTCCCTCCTTTCTTTCCTATATCTTTCTATATCTCATGTTTTCTATATTCTATGTTTTATACATGTCTGTTTCTATGTTTATGTTTTGTTGGGCTTGGTTATTCTTGGGTGAGTTTGGTATTACTTTATTTGTTTTTGATTTTTTCTCTCTACTCATTATTTCTCTATCGTTCTTTCTCTATCTGCACCTAGATATCACCCCTAAATTTCTTGTATGAGATTAGCCTCGTGTGTATTTTTTGTGATCTTTGTCAGGGCTATTCTACCAATGCCCTCCAAAGAATATGTCTCCAAAAAAGCTTTCCTTTTGTCCTCGTAGTCGGGACATACCATTATGATATGGGACAGGTCCTCAGCTTCACCGCAGGTAGCACAGTTTCGAGTTTCCTTCAAACCACTAGGATTCTCATGATTAGACCTGTATCCTAGCCCACAGGCGGGACTTTACCAGCTGAGCCTTATAGTTACGGTTTCTAATTTTATCTTAGCAGTTCGACCCTATTATTTCTGGCATTGTGGTCACAACAAGCGGCCGTGTCCAGGATGGACCACGGAGTTTCCCTCAAACCAATTCTAAATTTATAAGCGCCCTATAGTAAGTAAAAATGGCGTTAGTTAACCAGGTGGTAAACCAACCAATACAGTTGGTCCATCCCTATCCATCCCTAATACAGTTGTCCACCTGGGATCTATTGTAATACTTAAAAGAGGGCCCTTATATGGTAGCCCTTTACATATTTGTGTGGAAGTCTCATTAACAAGAAACAATAAAAAAATAGCACAAAACCTTTTTGCAAGATAATAAAATAATTGTTAGAAAATTAGAAAGAAATGAGAAGAAAATATGATTCTGTACAGTCCAATGCGTTTCAGTACAGATGAAGGCGAAATTAAGCCCGTTTTTGACCGCATAATCTTGCAATGGTAATTTATCGTCATTTTGAGTTTCCTCGTTTCGAAAGGAAAATGAAATAAATTATGGACAACAAGGTCTACAAAGAACTTCCATTTTAATACATACTCTAAGTAACTTGTAAAACTTCTTTATCTTACTTGAAATCCTTTGACTTTGATCAACTCTTTGAGTCTGTCTGTTATGTAGACGAATCCTTCTTCGTCGTAATATCCAACATCACCTGTGTGAAGCCAACCATCTTTGTCTAAAACTTCATCAGTTTCTTTCTGCCTGTTGAGGTATCCTTTCATCACCTAGAAATTAAACCTTTAAGTTGATATTCGTGGGCATACTCTTTATCGCATACTCTTTACTTTCAAAGAATTTACCTGGGGTCCTTTTACGCAGATTTCTCCTTCTTCGTTGTTTCCCAGGGCTTGTTTTGTCTGAATGTCCATGATTTTGACAGACGTGTTTGCAACCGGCGGTCCAACCGAGGCGTACAGCTTTTTTCCCTTGATCATATTACAGACAACAGGGGCAGTCTCGGTCAGCCCGTATCCTAATAAAAAAAGGTCAATCATGATACGTATTTTCCTTCCAATAGTGGGCTAATTTTACCTTGTTTATAAAAGACATCTTCAGAAAACTTTTGCAAACACTTCTGGATGTCCGATTCTCCGACAGGAGCGGCCCCATTTATGATTAATCTAACGGATTTAAGATGATCTGTTGTCGTGTTGGTGCTGTTTCCTATATAAAGGAGTAAAGGAGGGGCCACGTAGAGTACCGTCGCCTATTAAAAACCAAAATTACGATTTTTTAATTTCAAAATAAGGCGATTCATTTGGAATTTACCCCGTAGTCTTTAAGCGCGTTTAAGAACTTCGTTTCTTCAAATTTTGGCATCATGATTAGTTTAGCGCCTAAGGACAACGCTTGACAAAGGACGATCACGAATCCGTAAATGTGAAATATAGGCAGTATCACTGGCAAAACCTCTTGGAAATTGCCTATAAATGCATAATGTTTAATGGAAGGGAAATGATTTTTTGTCATTTATTAGAAATAATCTATACCTGAAGAGACTTCGATATCTTTCACTGCGTGCATGGCGACCAGGTTTGCAATTATGTTGTTATTGGACAAACAGACACCTTTAGGTTGACCCGTCGTTCCGCTAGAATATGGAATCACAATTGTGTCCTCGCCTGAGAACTTTTTCGGCTTGAGGTCGTACAGCAGATCCGGATCCGCGTTGGAGACAAGTTCATCGTAGCTTTTAACACCTTCAGGGTACGGATCTTCCATCCCCGGAGTCAGGACGATTTGTAAATCCGGGAAGTCGAACTTCTCTTTGATTTCTTTCAAAGTTTCGAGTTTGTCTGGATAAGTTACCGCGAGGACTGCCCCCGAGTCTTTTAATTGATAAGCGATCTCGTCTGAAACAAAGACAAAACGATTAGTTTCATAATATAATTTAACCGGTTGAAAAGAACTGACCTGCCTTGTAAGCTGGATTTACAGGAGTGACGATAACACCAGCTTCGATGGCACCGAACATTACGGGAGGATGTTGAATGATATTAGGCAGAATCGTTGCTATGACTTGGCCGGGTTTAACTCCAAGATCTTTTAAAAGGGCTACTCCAAACTTTCTGCATTCGTTTCTCAACTCTTTGTACGTCACTTCTCGCCTTGTTACACCGCAAACCTGGAATAAGTTAATAACAAAATTAACAATGAACTGAATTACAAATCCTCAAATATAATCCACTGTCTTCCGAACCCATCAGAACCTAAGAATTGACGAAAACCTTAACGTTATTGGAGGACCTGTTCAGAACACTTTCCACGTCAGGCTATCCCACCATTCTAACCCACTAACCCAAAGCACTTTTTTTGATGTCCCTTATAGTGCTGGATCAGAGAGGAGAAACAGAGATGGCTTCGTGACTCCTATCCCCATCTGCTGTTGTTAGTCCAAAAATTGTTGAAAAAAGCTCAGGATTTATTTCACAACAAGATACTTTGTCCTCGTACCTCAAAAGTTTTTATTTTATTATTGTAATAAATAAGTTTATGAACTGAAGATGACAATAAGCTGAAATGTATCTGAAAGTCCATAACGAACCAACTAAAACTGCTGCACAACTATTATATCTTCAAAAAATTAATTACCCTCCCCCCCAACAAAAAAGCTTTAAAGTTAAACACAATTTCACTCACCAATGCTGTATGATTGTGCCATCTGTCGATCCACGACCAAAGATGGTCGGTAAACGTCGTCTTCGGCAAAGGCGTGTCTGGAAAAGGAGATTTGACGATATTCGGGTTCCATTGGGCATATTTGACAGCGAGGAGTTTTTCAGGGTTTGCTATTTTTCTGCAAATAAGGCGATGCGATCTGACGATGGAAATAGGACGGGTTTGTTGTATTATCGAAGGAAATCTTCTACTTCTCGATGTTATCCTAGCCAGCCTGCTACATTCCTTCAACACCGACATTGTGCTAAAAAAACGAGAAAAAGTATTGTATTATTTTTATATTAAGTGTAAAAGTACAAAAAAAATTAACAGCCAACAATAAAACATAAGGCACAGGTTTCATTCTTACGCCAAACGTCGAAAAATAAGAGGAAAACGTCCGTTTAAAAATGATAAAATATAAATAAAAAATTAATTAAAAGTTTGGAAGTGAGAACTTCCGAAAAACTCCCGATAAAAAGTGTACTCACATTTTGTACTGTGACCTGAAAAATCTCCAGCAGATCGCGAGGATTCCGGCGATATTTTCTTAAGTCTCTATGGGTATCCTAAGTCTTCACTACTTTGTACAAAAGGTAACCGTAAAGGAAAAACAAATAAGATGAAAGACTTCCGTCCTGTGTGACAATTTGACTACTTAGTGAGGAGAGCTAAGTCCTAGTCGCGGCGAGAGTATGCCGGGCGGGGGACTTAGGCTTGTACGCAAGCAAGGGCCTAACCCAAAGTTTTTGCCTTCTTTTCCATCTATCAAATCTCTTGGCCCATTTTTTTATTAATTTGTTTCAAATCGTTCAGGAATGTTTCCACGAAGGACCAGTCAATGCTAATTAAAATAAACATATGGGAACATAAAACAATCTAAGAAACCAAGGTCCAAAAAATAACAAGATAAAACCTAAAACAAAAGCCAAGATTAACATCATCATAACTATAAAATACGCCCAGAGCCTGTCATCCGGATGCTCTCACCTTATAATCATGGAAAACGGATCTGTAACACAAGCCATTTTACATCGATGTTCAATGGTATTGAGCCTAAATGTATCACGCAAACACAACATAAATTTCTAAAATAAAAAATGTCCTCTTTGAAACCTAAACTTCCTCTAAACTCTTTTAAATGTGTCAACACAACCAAACCAAAGGTACCGTAAATAATTTGTGCACACTCAATAGGAATTCTATACAAGAACTGGAACAAAACTTTTACGTGAAATGAGCCATTCTTTTAACAAGATCCAACTTTGTAGTAGCCTTGAAGATTGCAGCATCAATATGATCGAAGAAGTTGCAGTGATCGTTACAAATTACCCCGAGATCTATTGTAGTATCTTAGAGACATCCACCACCTGCTTACCCTGACTAGATTAAACAAATTTAATTTTATGCATTAAATTCATTAGAGTTCCTGGTCCGATTGACCGAATGACGTTTTTCAATTAATTAATCTTTATATAAGGCATAGGTTGAGATAAAAAGTCAGTGTCACGAGCGGGATTCGAACCCACGACCCTCGACTATATACGCCGCTGCTCTACCACTTGAGCTACCGTGATTTCGATCCACTCGGTCACAAACTTCCCACCTCAACCCAACCTTTCGAATTTTCCCTCCTTTTTGCCATTTTTCAAATGTCGTGTAATCTATTCGTAATCTAAGCATGTAAGCATGTAATCTAAGCATTTTATTTTCAAGTTTCTCTCCACTTAAGCTAACATTTTTTTTGGTTAACCGGCTAATTTTAAACTACTTTGAACTTGTTCATGGCGTTATTTGCTGACTTTGAATTTTTATCGCGAGTGCTTTGCAGAAAATGTGCTGTATTACTCCACGATGCTCACGGTTTAGGGCCACCGGAAGTCTAGAACGAAGAGAAGATAGTGGTCGGCCGCGTTATACGACGGTTTCCTTGATAGATGGCCAACTCTAATCGGTCCATAATGTTAAGGTGAGCTCTAAAACAGTCATCAGAAGGCTTCGTGAGAAGAGCCTAGTCTCTGGCTATAAGGTTCTCGACTAGTGAAGAGGCATCGAGTAGAAAGGCGACTATTTGAAAATCAGCGTTTCGCTTGGTTACTTAAACAATGGGGGGGGGGGTGTAATTTTACAGATGAGTGCCGGTTTTTTTTTTAGGCAGTCAGATGACTATGTGCGGAGAAGAAATAGAGAACGCTTTGCTTCATGTGTCATGCGCGAGTCACGGCCTTTTAAAAGACAGTTATGGTATGGAGTGGAATAACGGTCATGCCGTACCGAAATGATACAAAATGGATCTTTGTCTGCACTAAGATACATTGAGGAAGTTCGTCTCGAAGCTGCTGTCCCATTCGCTCTATTTATTAAGGACAACTTCGGGTTAATGCATGATATGCTCGGCCATTACGACACTAAGGGAGGACAGAAATATTGTCATTGCTGCAAGACGGAACCCTTTCCATAGGGCCCGCCAGATCCTAAATGTTTTGGAAAGGCCTTTATGGTCACGTAATCGATTGTGGGAAGTTAGCCTTACATCGTATATCCGTTTACCTGCAGCAACAGCCCACTACCAGAAACTCAGGAGAATATGATGCAGCTACCTTGAAGAGAACACCAATTGGAATGCTGTTATGTTTATCGATGAGTCGCGTTTCTGTCTGGACAGCAGGCGCCGAAGAGTCTTCCGAGAACAGGGGATGCATACAATGCCTCAAGTTCGTGCTCCCTTCAGTGCAGTTTGGAGGAAGAACTGGACTCCAAATTGTTGAAGGCAACCTCACTGCAGTCCGTTAACTCCAAAACATTTTGGATGAATACATCCCTCAAACAAGGGATCTTATTGACAGTGATTTTCGATTTCTGGATGACAATGCCAGCCTCATAGAGGTTGTTCACGAGTGTTTAAAAACCTGGGTACCATTCATTCAGTTAGGTATGTGGAGTATTTTTGTCCTTTACCCTTTTCACCTATTATATATTGCTAACCGAATTGAGGGTTGATGGAGTACTTAATATTCCGACATCCGTCTCTTTTACACTAAATATTCACGCCAATAAATACATTCACTGTAGGCAAACATCCACTACTATACACAACTTACAATTAATTAAGGTTTTTAGTTGAGATTAAAAAGTTAATGGCACGAGCAGGATTGAGTAGCGGGAGCGAGAGACGCCGCTGCTCTACCACTTGAGCTATCGTGACCTCGATCCACTCGGACACCAACTTCCCATCTCAACCACACCTTTTGAATTTTCCGTCCTTTTTGCCATTTTCAATATATACAACTATACACAACCCTGTTTTATATAAAAATCGGATAAGGAGACTGAGACACCCACTGCCGTGCTCACGCACAATTCTCATATCGGGGGTCATTCCTACACGCTTTTCATACGGAGCCAAGAAATTGCACCCTTCAATTAGGTGGGGGCATCGAGCTATCTTTCTCTACATCCGCGGGCTTTGGTCCAAAAGTAAGTGCCCGTGTGTCAACCTCTCATGGCCTATTCTTAATCGGGTGAGACTTTTACATGTCTTGAATCATTTTCTCCGAGTGCCACGCCAATAAAAAAATTATATTTGTCTGTCTATTCTGACAATACCAGGGCGTTTTTCAATTTTGTTTGTTGCATTTAAGATATACGAAGACACATGTGGTTATTTTTGTATTTCAAATATCATGTCTCGTTCGAGAGATAGCTTGAAGTTTGTTTATTTGCCCGTTAAATTAGAGGCAATGACCAACGAATTAATATAAACAGAGCTTCCATAAAAAAAAAAATCTCAACAATTTCTTATCGGAGATTGGAAACCGTCCTTTCTTTCCCTCGGTATAGAATTAATCTGGAAAGATTATATTTACTCAATTTAGATATAAATAGATCCCAGGTTAATAAAAAAGTACAAAAATTGAATAATTGATCGTTTCTCTAACCGATAATCGTGCGTTACGCAATGTGCAAACAACTGACATTATTCACGTCTGGTTTGGATAAAATGACGAATTATTTTTATTTATTCTTTTCCTCGAAAAATTCAATTTTTATTTCTTTTGTAAGACCGGCCTTAAACTGATTAGGTAGGGCAAGATGTGATTATTCAAATATGTTTACTTCCACAGCGTTTATTTATTTATTTGGCTCACACGAAAAAATCTGCCGTTCATTACGTAAACAGTTTCTGTTTATTTCGCATTGATATCATGATATTTAAGATAAACAATTTTTCCCCTTTGTTTTGATAACTTTGTAAGAGGGATAACTTCAGAAAAACTCAATAATAATAAAAAAAATAAATGTTTTTTTATTGCATTGCTTGAGTGTGTTGGAACAGTCTTAGATAGGGTTTGGCACTCCAGATTGCTTTGAAAACAAAAGAATACCGTTTCTCATCAATCAAAAGACAAATCTGACACACCGACTCTGCCGAATCCGTCGGGGTTGAATTTTCATCTTATTTACTCATTAGGGCGGTTCTTCCTCAAGGAAGCATACTTCGGCGTTTCTTTTTTCAATATGCACTGCAGATTTTCCTACACGTGTTCAATTTCACACTGGTACAGTGATTCTAGGAGGGAGGGAGAGAGGGTGAGAGGGAGAGAGGGAGAGAGGGAGAGAGAGAGAGAGAGNTTGATTTATTTAAACTGAGGGAATGAGTGAGTGAGAGAGAGAGAGAGAGAGAGAGAGAGAGAGAGAGAGAGAGAGAGAGAGAGAGAGGAGGCAATTGGAAGCATAAAAGTCCTCCAGTGTTGAACATAAATGTTCTCCCGTTACCTACCTTGGACTTTTCATGGACTAACGACTGACTCGGAATACACAAAACTGAAAAGACAACGGGTAAACAGTCTTACAAACTACTTGACTGTTCGAACCGTTAAAACAAAAAAGAAGGAAGGTTCGAACGGTTGTAGGTTGAGATGGAGAGTTAGTGTCCGAGAAGATATAAGTCACGGTAGCTCATTGAAGTAGAGCAGCGGCGTATTTAGCCGAAGGTCGTGGGTTCGAATCCCGCTCGTGACACTGACATTTCTATCTCAACAAAGACCTTACATGGAAAGAATTATCAATTGAAAGATGTAACTTGGTCAATTGAAAACTAAAACGTAAATGAAATAATAATAATGAACGTATTTTAGATTTAGTTTTAAGTAAAACTGATTCAAAACAGAATTACATGAGAGTTTAGTACCAGTTGATCCACATAATTCTGCCATCTCACTGAATTTTACTGTTCGAGGATATTCAAATATATTAACACGTTCA